GCGCAGGGCAGGGACAGCCTCGGCCCTGTCCCCGCAGCCCTGCTCCTGGACATCATGACGGTGGCCGGCATGCAGAAGCTCATCAAGCGGCGCGGCCCCTTCGAGACGAGCCCCAGCCTCCTGGACTACCTCACCATGGACGTGTACGCCTTCCCCGCCGGGCACGCCAGCCGCGCGGCCATGGTGTCCAAGTTCTTCCTCAGCCACCTGGTGCTGGCCGTGCCCCTGCGCGTCCTGCTGGTGCTCTGGGCCTTCTGCGTGGGGCTGTCCCGCGTGATGATCGGGCGGCACCACATCACGGACGTCGTCTCGGGCTTCGTCCTGGGCTACCTCCAGTTCCGCCTGGTGGAGCTGGTCTGGATGTCCTCCAACACCTGCCAGATGCTCATCTCCGCCTGGTGAGTGGCCGCAGGGACTGTGCGGCCCGGCTCCCGGCTGGAGCTGGCCACCTGCCCCTTTGCCAGGCCCCGCGTGGGGACAGCCCTGCTCGGCGTCTGCTCTGCAGGTCACAGGTGAGAACCAGGACGGCAGGAGCGGGACCGCGTCTTGTCTTGTCCTTTCATCATCATGTACCTGTTGAGTTCCTGGCTGTGCCCACCGGGCCACACCGTACAAAACCTGGCAAAATACCCCCGACCCGCCACCGACAGAGGTGCCATTCACGGTCATCGACAGCTTAGGGCCGCGCTCTCTGAAGGGTGCCCGGCTGGACACCAGCCTGGGAAGCAAAAGGGTTTTGTGGTCAAATCCACGTGGGAAATGCTGCATCCTCTGCCCCCTGGTGGACGTTCACGGGGAGTGCGTGTGGTAAAGGCTCTGACAAGTCCTGCAGAGACGCTTCCTGTGGACCTTGTACCATGTTTCCTAAGCTGATGTGACCACAGAGCCCTTTTCTCCTGCGAGAGCTGTGAACCACAAGAAACCGCCGCTTCCTCGAGCTCGTGTGGAAGACGCTGCCCGGAGCTGAAGGACAGAGGTGTGAGCGGGCCTCTCCCAGCGCCGCCAGTACCACCGCCTGTGGGCGCCCACGGCCCGTGGGCATCGGTGCCACTTTGGCCCCCAGGGGCCGGACCCGTGTGACCTAATAGGTCGTTTCCAAGTCAACCGTTATGTACGTGCGTTTCATGTGACAATACAGATGCTATTCAAGGGGACCCGCTCCCGTGTGGTTTTTCTTTGTGTGGTTTGGGTTTCCAGGCAGGAGAATCTCTGTTAATATAGGGAGGCG